TAGGAACCACCCTAGAATTCATTGTCATAAAAATGAGGGCCTAACTATAAGGAACAACTTTGTAGAAGAGACTTTTAGTCTAAAGTTTCAATTTCAGACTCAAAACATATCATTCCACCTAAATCTGCATTCTGGACCACTGTGCAATGTTACGCGAGAAGTGATTCCTCGATTAGTTGGTACAGTTTGTTTGCAAACTTTGAGCTTTTATTCGCGAGAAGTCGGCGATATTGAAGTCCTTGTTGGCAGAAGTAGTTGCGTCCTTATCTCAAATCACTCCGGAAATCAAAACCCCTCCAACATTTTCCTCAAACATAATCCAATAAACCTGAGCAGGAAACCCCCTCATCATTATCTCAAAGAGCGTTTGCTTCGTACAAAATTAGATTGTCCTCGAAAAAATTGTCAACAAACGGTCGAATGCCCGCGCGACGTCCGATAGCAGCACCTCACCGAATAACAAATTAAGAAGCGCCAACCGACCACGATCTGTCAGTGTGTCTCGTCTATCTGGTTGGCTGCCGCCGCCGGTGGTGGCGCCGTGATTTGCTTTCTCTCACTCCCTTGTTAAAATATATTTGCGCCAGCCTCTACGATAATAATAACAATATGCGTCGTGGTTTGGCCTATATTCTTCTTACAAATACGCCTTCCACTACTACCGACACCGGTGTGATAGTGACGGGGTGCAGGTAGGTATGGCGCGTCGTTTCATCCCATCATTAACGTTGTTGGTGGTGAATTCTAGAGTTGGCAGCTGGCGACCGAAAAAAAAGGCCTGTCTCGAGGAAAATTTCAATTACTCCCTTAATCCTTAACTTTCGTGCATGAAACAAGCTAGAAATTACCGCTGCGGTTGAGACTCTGTTCTGTGAAAGGATTACCTATTGGAAGATTGCCGTAAAAGCTCAACGCAGATGTCGCCACTGCATGATGATGATAATGTTGACAGGCTGCATATAAAATTCGTGAAAATTAGCGTTAAATCCTAATTTTCATCAAGCCTGTGTAAAATCCTTCCAATATAACATTCGAATTGAAGAAGAAATCGTTTTTACGATCAGACTGATGTGCATCTTTGACTTTTCCAGATGAACAATTGGCGTCTTGCAGTGAAACTTTTCCGAGCTTTCGCCTCCTACATTTCGAAGTGAGAACTACTAGAAGGAGGATAGTTTCCAAATTTTCCAAGTGAAACAGACGATTTTTGGGGCAAATCGGTCCATAAAGAAAAACTAACAATTTCCCGTGGAAATTTTTGCTTGAATCGTGTAAGAAAACGTGTTTGAAAACTAATTGTTATTATTTCGGTATGGATCGGAGATGTTTTGATGGAAAATAATGCATAACAAGTTTGAACCCACAGCAAGAGGTTACCTCCTGCGCAGCTGCATTTTTCGGAAAATGTTGAATATGTGCGATTTCCACTAAGATGAAAGCGGAAATTAAGTGAATTTACTTAGGAAAGGTTGTATCATGCTGGTGGTAATGGAGAATTGGTTGTATAGGACACCAATATTCAATAAATGTTCATTTTGGCCTTTTCTAAGCAAACATATTGATACTCACAATTTTCGACGGAAAACGCACCGGAACTTGATTTACTCAACACGCACCATACTATAAAATGGTGCTAGATGGTCTTCAAAGTGATAACAAGATGACAAATCATCTTTATTTTGAGTAATTGAGCAATTTACTTCTGTTTACCATCATATTTACGATGCAGCATTGATGGAGCCGTGAAATGAAATGAATATATCTTATGAAAGTTCACCTGGAAAAGTCAAAGATGCACATCAGTCTGTTAAGACGTTTTCTTCTTCAATTCGAATGTTATATAGGAAGGATTTCACGCAGGCTTGATGAAAATTATGATTTAATGCTAATTTTCAAGAATTTTATATGCAGTCTGTCAACATTATCATCATCATGCAGTGGCGACATCTGCGTTGAGCTTTTGCGGCAATCTTCCAATTGATGAATCTACGCGAAACTGCACCAATGCATGCGACCCCTAGGTTTGGATTCCAAAACCATAAAAGTGATGACTAAAAAATATTCCATACGATTTGACAGGTAACAAAACGTCATTATCATTTTCACATCATTTCCATCTGCCGGTCGACTGTAACGTAGATTCATCAATTGCTGGCATTGAAGAATAGAAGGAGTTTGTACATACCCGTTCTGGCGAATGCAAAGGAGAGTAATTAAAGATTTTCTAGGATAGACAAAGAAGCCCGTCGACGTCAAGAAATCTGAACAATATCGTGATTATATTTTGTACGACGTATTCGATTAATTATTTGGGGAAAGTGGTGTAAGATGGCAAATCTAAAAAAGTCGTTAAATTTTGGGTCATTCGTGACTGTAGATACACACTGAGTTCAGTTCACTGAAGTCTTACTTTCAATTTTATCTAGATGAACGCATCATTGGGACGGTACTAATGACTATTATTGGTCCAAGGTGGCCAGCAAACCGGAAAAACCGGGAATACCGGGAAATATCCGGGAATTTGAAAAGTAACCGGGAAAAACCCGGGAATTCAGTTAGAGAACCGGGAAAAATGAATTAACCATAATACCATAAGAACAAATATTTACACCAGAATTTCAGAATAAACCATTAAAGCAGAGTGATCTTTTAACAAATGAATGTCTTGCTCTATTTGTTGTATAATTTTCTTCAGTGTCCCGTCTTATCGTTTTTAGAATTTAATCATTCAGCAATATTGGAAATTGATTTTTGTCGTCTCAATTTCAGATGTAAAGTGCATGGTCCTTAATAGAAAATTTTGAAGATGCTGGACTTTGGTAACAAATATTTGTTATAACCGAACTGAATTAATCTTTTTCGGGGTTTTAATTTTTCGTTGTTCAAAATTCTCATGATATCAATTCCAGAATTAACTTCTGAATTATCTTGAAATTGTTCGGAAATAACCAAAAAACACTCCGCGTAATAATTACCGTTTAATTCTTTTTGGAATTTCCTTGCAACCCCTTCTAAGAATATAATTAGAATCCTTCTTAGAATTCCCTTGAGCCTATCCGGAGGCTTTAATTTCTTTGAAAAACTTTACAAAAAATTATTTTAACTCTATTGAAAACAGCAGAAATCTTTCGAGTATTTTACAGAATTTCTTTCTAATTATCAGAAAAAAATTTGCAATAAATTTTGTTGGAGTTCTGTGATGAATCTTTCGCACTAGGGTTGAAATTATTGCCAGAACACTCTTAGAACTCTGTTTCTTGTTGAATTATGATCATAAGTTTCTTGAAATTCTTCTTAAAATCATACATCATACAAATCTCCTCAGAATCACGTAGGGATTTTCCGCAAAGTTTTGTTTTTCACAACTCCTTTTTAAATCTTCTAAAATTACCTAACCATTTAATTCAGAACTTGCATTCTTCTCCACAGAAATCCTTCGAAATTCATCTAACAATTTCTAAGGATTTCATGTCAGAATAATTCTGGGAATCTGCTCAGAACTTCTCCATCGAAAACTGTGTGGGAGTCCTTCTCAATATTTGTTTGAAATCAACACTTTGAATCCTTTTAAATATTAATAAAAATTCCAGGGTTTTCCCGCTAGATTCTATAGATTGTTATGTAATATTTTATAACCCTTAAAATGCTTCCAAGTCTCAGAGCGTGACAATTATGACTCCACGACTCATATTTTTTTTTTAAATCTGTGATCTTGAATTTTTTTCAAAATCTCACATTTTAATTATTTTTACTCAAAATCTTGCATAACGAAGATTGTTATTAATCACAAATTTCTAGTGCTAGTTTCAGACTTTACACAAATTTTAAAGCTCCAGAATCTTGTGAATCTTCTTAAATCACTTCTTTATGTTTTCAGTAGATTCCTTTCAGCACGTTCTTATTTTTTTTTTGTTGAAAATGGTTGGTTGGTTGGTTGGTTGTATTTATTAAGGAGATTTTCAGCCAGACGCTCGTTCATCTCCGCGTTGTTGAATATTAACAACCGGGAGTTTTTTAAGATTTGAATCGGGAAAAAACCGGGAATTTCAAAATGAAAATTCACTGGCCACCCTGATTGGTCGCTATTATATAAAATTTAGTCGATTGCTGAATTTATGTATGGGCCCAAATTAGGGGCATTTCGGCCGACATTACATCCATTTCCCCTACCTACTGAAGTGAACAATTTGCCATCAAAACTAAAAATGGCTTCGTATAACGTAGCTCATTCTCCCGGTTGTTGAACAAACACACAGCTTGTGGTGGGCGGACGGTTGAAACTCTACTCTCGAGCAAAGGTATTATAGTCATTATCATTATCACTTGGCCGTTGGTGCTGACAATGGGTGGTATGTTTACCTATTTGCGCAAAAGCGTCAGCGAACGATAGCAAACAAACTGCCGGCGCGATAGCAACAAGTCAGCGTCGGTCGCACAGAAGAACGTTCATTCAAAAGTTTCCGGGATCAGGAAAATAGCCGCTGGATATTTGTCCAAGAATTCTGCAATTCAAAATTAATTACAAATGAACAGCTGCTAAATGTGATGCAGGTGCCGGTCCGGGTTGTTATCGCTATCGCACCGATTTTCGTTGTTTCGGTGTATATCGCGCTGTTGATAGAACTGGTCAAGGTCGACCGATGGCGCGTGTTTCAAATTCCTTCCACTAGGTGTATTTGCCCCCGAAATAGCGCGTCCTATTTTCAAATTGCTGAAGTGGTTTAATTTCAATTATGGGTTCTCTATATTTATTGAAGCGAGATGTGTACAAGTCTGTTTAATTATTGATTGAAAGCTTTTCAAGGCAAAAGACAGTAATATGATCCCACCAGCCGGGAATACTCTATCACCTCCGCCTGTTGATGGACTATTTTTAGCCTGTCTATTATAATGGTGGTGTCGAGATCGTGGTTCATTCTATTCGCATCCTGTCAATAGTTAGAGATAGAAGGAGGAACTTGTTTGCTGAACGAAATTCTCCACTCTTTTCTTTCTTCCAGGAATTCCGGTCAACCAGCAGCACCTGCTGTACAACCACAAGGAGCTGAACGATGCCACCGAGATGAAGGACATTCCTCTAGTCAACGGATCCCGGTTGAAGCTGGTGCTGGGCATGAAGGGTGGGCCGATTTCCTCCAAACGGGTGGTCACAATTTCCGACTACGAGAATTGGTTCGACATGAGCGATGTGCTATCAAGGTCAGTATCTGTATTCTATGCCGGGAATCGGCTGACGTGACGTTATGTTTGTGTACACTGCACTGGCTACATCAACTATAAGAGGGTATATTTTCTGTTTTCATGTGCTCTCAATTCATCACTATTATGGCAGCGTTATTCAATGTTTGTTTGTGTTTGGTGCTTTGACACAATGCACTTTGCTCGTTGCCACTGCTTCCTTCCTATGGGATTGCACGATGCACAAAGTGTGGTGTAGTTATATCTATGATTTGGACGGATACTCGTTTTTGTTTTAAACTGTGCCCATGTCAAATTCCTACAGACTTGTTTGATTTCCTTGTCGAGGCTCTGCCGCCACGAGCCCCTGTGTCTGCTTCTGCTTTGCGATGTCCTGCCAGCTTTCAATCCAGCGCTTGCTTGGGGGGAACGACGTTTGGTATAACTATATCAAAATCCCTTCTAGATGCAAACATAACAAGAATACACACATTTCCGCCACAGCATTTGATGACTGGCACTCCTGCCCAACCTGGCGTACTTTCAATAGAGATTTTCCCTTGTTTCAAACAAGAACTGTTATTTCGACTTTTATTGTTGTAGTAATGTTTTGTTCTTTCTCACTGCTCCTCAGAGATCGCGTAACGAATGAAAGAAATTATTTTTAAGTTGATACCTATCTAAATGTCCGATACTTCCTATTTCAACATGTTTCCAAGCTTGCGTTATTAAACCGCATTAAAATTTAAACGATTGCATTCTTTTATGCCAAACGTCCTTTGTCAAATGACCTTAATGTCAAACGACTTTATGCCAAACGGGGTAGCCCCAAAATGTTGGAAACATTAGACTTTCTCCACTGCTTGCTCTGTTACCGTAAATTTGGAAGAGTTCTCGCATAACATTTTGAAATTTTTGCCCAAAATGCCAACAAATGTTTTTTGATCCCATTCAATAGCACCGCTATATAGCTACCAATCTTATAGGAATGTTCCGTACTATCGATAAAAAAAATCATTAAAAATAACTTGATTTTCAAAACGGGCGATCAACGAAATTTTTCGAATCGTTGCTAAAACGGCCTAACATATATTTTTTTACGTTCCATTAGGTTCCATTGATCAGGGTGGTAAGTGAACCAGGAAAACCGGGAATTTATTTTCACCAGGAAAAACCGGGAAAAAACCAGGAATTTCATAAGTGTCCACCACGAAAACAATCTTGTTTGTATAATTTAAATAGGTTTTAAATTTTATGTATGTCAAAGTTTCTTTTTATAATCAGGTATAAACTAACCATTTTGTTCAAGCTAAATCTTTCACACAACTAAACATTGATGAACAAAATTTACCCTGAGAATTTAGTAAATATATTTTGTATTTATTTGTAATTTAATTTTTTTTTCTCGAATCATTTCATATATGATTTGTGCTTAATTGATAGCAGACTTAAGCAGTGCCGACGCGTAACTACTTTGAAGTACCTGTTCAACATGTTCAATAAAAAAGTTCTATTTCTAAAAACTTCAGATAAGGCATTCGAACTTCATGCAAGTTCTACAAAATTCGGGAAAGTCTTGCTAGTTTCAGGAAAATTCTGTGAAAAAAAATCATCCTACTGTGATGACCTACGACGGTCAGGAAATCTCTCCGAACCTTCAGAGAAGTTCTACAAATTTCAGAGAAGTCTTACGAACTTCAGGAAAGTCCTTTAATCTTTGGGGAATAACTACGAATTGTACAGAATTTTCTACAGATTTAATGTAACTTCTACGAGATTTAGGCATTGCTTAAAACTTTAGGATAATCCTATGACACTTATGGATGTTTTCCGAGCTTCAGAGAAGTCTTCAATACTCTTGGGAAGTCCTCTCAACTTAACATACATAGTTCTCCAAGCTCAAAAAAGTTCCTAGAACTTCCCAGAAGTCGATTGAACTACAGGTAGTCGTATGAAATTCATGGGAGCTCTTTAAACTTCAGGGAATTTCCAAGAAATTAAGGAAAGACCCACAAACTTTGGAAAAACCCTTCGATTTTTAAAGCCTTATGAACTTCAGGAAAGCTCTTCTAAATTTAGGGTCCTCATATATTCAGTTAAGTCCTTCAAACTTCAGGGAAGTCCTCAGATTTTCGAGAAAGATCTTCGAACTTGAAGGAAGTCTTACGAACTTCTGAGAATTTCTACGAACTTCGTGGTACTGCTACGATATTTAAGAAATTCCTATGAATTTCAAAAAACTCCGAACTTCAGGGAAGTCCTACGATCTTAAAAAAAAGTCCTTAGAACTTCGGGGAAGTCCCATGAAATTCAGGCAATACAAACTTCAATGGACCCTTCAGGAAAGACCTTAACGCTTCAGGGAAGTTCTACGAACTTTAGGGAGTTTCTATGAACTTCAGCAGTCAGTATTTTTAATGATACGAGTTATTAAACCAGCGTTGTTTATGAAATCTTTTAATCATATGATTTTGAAATCATGTTGTAATCAGAATTCCGCTAAATAAGATCCTTAATGGTTGACAATTTGCGGGAAATTTAAACAAACTGGAAATCCGTAAAATTGTTAGAAGCAAAGGTTGTTTAAAGAGTCCCCATTCATATCACACTTCGCAATTTCACCTTGAGATAAACTAGCCCGTTGGCTAAAAATCTTAATATTAAAGTTAAAAAATCCGAGGGGGGCGACACATCTAAATCTCAATTCTAGATGCTCAAAAAATCTCACACTAGCGAATCAATCTTCGAAAAATCATGTTTCATTTCTCGCATCTACTTGCATCGTGCGTGCTTCATCTTTTTGGAGGAAATCTTCAAAATCGACATAAATCTTCCTTCTATCTACTCAGCGTGCGTGCAGCTAGCCACAGCAAAACATAATCTTTTCTGCATCGTAGATAGAGTCGTCCACCTCGAAAAAATCGCAGTTTCAAAAACAGAAATCTCAAGATTTAGGGGCTTATAGATCTCTAAATTTTAGACATTAGATAGGGCTTCACGCTGGTCCGTCGTGTTTCAGTGTCAATCGTAATTAATCTTGTAAGCAAAGATGTTTTTTTGCAAAAACATGAGTGAAAACGCTTTGCTATTAGCACATAGAACGGAAATAGGCGCCATGATACGATGAAGTAGCGCGGCTCCCTACTAGCTTCTTTACAGCAAACAATCAGATAAAGATTTCACGGGCATTCACAAGAACCTTAATACCTATTTTGGTTTGTGAAATTCCGCATTGCGCGAAGAATAATGGTACAAGAATTAACTTTTTTTTTATTAAAAATTGTTTTTTAAATACATGGTTTTTAAAACCAGGAAATTTTCAAAACATTGACCAGGAAAACCAGGAAAAAACCAGGAATTTCAAAATGGAAATTCACTTGCCTGATTGATAAGTCTAGTAACGTGGAAAGGCCGATGATTGAAAATTTTCAAATCAAAGCTAGGCCCTACTGCTTTAGGCAGCGTCGATGATTTGTTTTGCATTTATTTGACGTTAAAAGGCTTAGCAAAGGGTTTACCATTTCTGATGACAAACAGAACGGCTTAACAAAAGAAGCCTAACCTACCTTAAATTTCAAAGTTCGGCGTTTCAAATATGTTTGAAACTTGAAAACTTCTCACGTTCCCTAATCTCCCCCTTCATGTCTGGAATGTTTAATTTTAAATAAAACACCCTGAACTTTGAAGATTTCAAGACCAACAATTGAAATGGCGTTAACTCAATTTTGTGAACAAACCTTGTAAGGCCTGTTGGAACTATTTATTGGCGCAACAAGTGAATCGTCCAAGATCTCGCAAGCAGGAGTTACCCGTTCAACGGTCCTCTTCTCACAGGATTAAATCTCTCCTCTTCTCACAGGATTAAAAAATAAAATAAAATCGAAAGGGTAAAATGATATTGAAGCATAAAACACAAAACAAGACAAAGGCGTAGATTTTCCAAAATATTTATTGAATAATTCAGGTGTGATCATTTAACTTTCGCTTTTAATCACTTCGGTATTGCATGTTATCTACCGTGTGAACAAAATCTTGCAAATACCTTGGGGCTCTCCTATCCCTGGAAGTTCGTTGAAGCGATTGATCTTCTTGCGGCGATGTAGCTTCAGATCTTGGTTGGGCACGCCATTCAAACACCTTCTTCGTCTGGGAAACGTGGCGTTTCAGAGTATGTCCATCATCGTCGCTGAGTACCAGGTTACCGTTTCTCTCTTCCATTACCGTATACCGCTGTGTGCCGAATCTTGAAACACCTTTCGGTCGTGATTGTTGTTCAACTATGACCGTATCTCCGAGTTTCAACTGGCATTTCCTAGCACCGCGTCGGATGTCCTCACGTTCTTTGGACTTAAGTTTCATATCTCGATCCCTCTGGTTAAGAACGTCGTTGTCGTGATTCGGGAGACCACGATCGAAGAGTGGCAATCCCCGCTTGATCCTTCTACCTCGCATAATTTCCTCAGGTGGAACCTTCGTTACAGTGTGGGAAGCTGCATTGTGCGCCCGAATAGCAGCTTGCAGTTCTTCATTGTAATTTGATCCGGTAGAGGCCGCTATGGCCATGATTTGTTAATTACCTTCATGTAATTTTCCACCAAACCGTTTTGTCGTGTAAAAAACGGCGTTGAGAAAATATTTTTAATTCCTCTTTCATGACAGTATTGTTTATAATCTTCCCCATTAAACGGGGGTCCGTTATCACTTTTTACGCTTTCCGGAAAACCTTCCCTATCGAAGATTTCGTCTAGCACTCGCTTCGTTAGCTCGAAGCTGGTTGATTTTATAGGACGGGCAATGATGTATCGAGAATGATAATCGACGATAACGAGGATGTGAATTCCTCCGAACTTAGCATAAGGCCCGCTGAAATCCACAGCGATGGTCTTCCAGACAGTCTTCGGAACTACCGTACGCTCCATTGGAGTGGGTTTTCCTGGTCTACCATTGACTGCGCAATGTTGGCAGGCCTTGACCCAGTTTTCAGCGTCCCCCGGCATGCCAGGCCACCAGACGCGCTCCCG